CCCGCCCCTCCCCCCCCTCCCCTCGCTCCGCCCGCTCCTCCCGCTCCTCCGGCTCCTCCTCCAAACTTGAAGAACGTGACGAAGATCGCGCCAAAGTCATCTCCTACGGGGAAAAAAAAGAAAACTACAAATAAAAACTCGGTCCTCCCGCTCCTCCTCCTGCCCCTCCTCCGGCAAACAACATGACAAAGATCCCGCCATAGCCATGTACTACTGAAAACAACAACGAGAACTGCCAAAAAAACCCCGCTTTTGTGGCCGCTCCTCCCGCTCCTCCTCCGCCAAACAATGTGAAAAAGATCCCGCCAAACCCATCTCCTACAAAAAAACAAAAGAAAACTACGATGCCTACGCCATCCTATACCTCCTCCGCCAGACAGCGTGACAAAGATCCCGCCATAGCAATATACTACTAAATAAAAAAAGAAAACTACAAAAAATAAAACCGCTCCTCCTCCCGCCCCTCCCCCTCCTCCCCCGGCTCCTCCTCCGCCAAACAACGTCACAAAGATCCCGCCATACCCATCTCCTACAAAGATAAAACACACTACGATTAAAACCCGCTCCTCCCGCTCCTTCCCCCGCTCCTCGTCAACCTCGTCCAACGTCATATCAGGGATCGGACGGTGGAAGATGGCTTTCTGCAGATAAAAAAAATAAAAATAAAAAAATTGAGTATTAATATTGCGCTAGAACATGGAAAGATACACTGAGTCACGCTCATCTGGCACCATGTTCTTTCCATGATGCAGCACCAGATCAATTTCGTTGCAGGCAGGGGGAGAGAGAGAGAGAGAGACAGAGACAGAGACAGAGACAGAGCGCGCGCGCGCGAGAGAGAGAGAGAGAGAGAGAGAGAGAGAGAGAGAGAGAGAGACAGAGAGAGAGAGAGACAGAGAGAGAGAGAGAGAGAGAGATGGTTCTACGAAGGAAAGAAGACCAACCCAAGAGGAACGACATGCCACGGCAGAAAGACAAACTCAATGACTGGCGCCGGCTACGCCATGCAACGCGTTCAAGGCCGGCAAATGACGAAGGACGGTGCTGCAGCGGTTCAGCGGTTCGCGGAGTTCCAAGGTCGATGTCACCAAAAAACAGTGCCGTCCAGAAAGCCGACTGTTGTTCTCCACCCGGTTCAAAACGCTTCAAAAAATCTTCCCGCTATACTTTCCCGCCCCCCTCTTAAATTTTTGAGTTGCGCACCCGCAGCCCACTATTCTCCACAGGCGTAATGGCAACGGACACCACTCCTCATGCCGTAATGGGAAGAGGCGTCTCTCGGTCGGTCCGAGCCTTGGCCACCGGGCCCCTCCAACTCAATGACATGTCGAATCTGGACAGGACGGCCTTTCAGGCCTTTTCTTTTGTCTTTATAGTATTACGGGAAACCCCGTAGCAGCCACATCCGTG